TGTGTGTGTGTGTGTATGTTTGTGTGTGATTTAGTGCTATATCTGATATCCTGTTTTTAAACTTCACATTTCAAAGTGGCAATTCCTTCCTTTCAGGTGGATCCTTTCTTCCTATTTAAACATAATATTCTTAATCTTTCTCAGTTGGTCAAAAGAAGAAATTCAGAATTTATGTTACCTAAATATATGTTTATACACACACACACACACACACACACACACACACACGTGTGTGTTTGTGTGTGTGTGTGTGTATAAATGTTGACTAAACTCTAAACATATTAAACATATATTATGTAAAATAATCCTTAAACTTAAAGAAAAAAATGAAAAAGAAAGTTAAAATCGCAAAGAAGCAAAGAAAACTGGGAAAATTCTACCATATATATTAGTTATCAATAGCCACAAATTTATTAAAAAAGTTATACACTCCTGTTTGTCAATCCAAAATATGACAAAAAATATCATAAAATCTCTGTAAAAACAGTAGACATTGCCTCATTTTTAAAATTAGTAGAAATTAAACCTACTTTACTTGAACATGGCATCATGCATTCTATAAAATTAAACAACTTCAAAAGATTTAATGTCCAAAATTACCAGTACAGAAATCAATAGTTTTACCTCTCTGGACAATCCTGGAAGGGAAGGGAATCATATCCATATATACTTTATATTATATTTTATATATTATATTATATACTTCTTTCTTTCCCATGGTAAAATGCATATTTCCGAGATAATATTCAAATAAATGGGGCTACCATTAATAACTACAGTAATATCACAGATGCTGCAGAAAATTAAACAATATTCAATTATGATTCGTATAAAACATGTAGAGATGATCTTGGATAAGAAATGGTTTACAATGTTAAGAATGTTGAAATGGCAATTCAGTCATGGAAAGTAGAGAACATGAAAAAGAGACTCAAAATAACCATGCCTTATTTCTGCCTGGTATTAGAGGAGGCAGAAAGAAACTCTTTCAGGCATTCAAGATTCTGTTGTTATTATATCCTACAACAATAGAATAGGATTCTTGGAATCCTTGCAATATCTGTTTCCTGACCTGGCCTACCTCAAAAGGCTGTTATCAATCTTGAAAACCTTGCAAGAATGCTATTTATTGGGCAAAAATAGAATAGCAGAAACCTGAAAGCGTGTCCAAGTTCTCTCTATTCCATTTTACATTAAGAAAATCAAAGCAGAATTACTTGAAGTTTCTTTCTCACACTTTTCTCTTTGTCAAGATTGTGTAATCTTTTCAGCAAGCTGGCTCAACTCCATATTCATAAAAAAGTTGCTCTACTCTGAAATCTTTTCTGTTGGAAATTTGCCAAAACTCTAAATGTGAACATCTTCCAGAACCAAACATTTTTTCTTAGGTGTACTATGTCAAGGGTATCAGTAAGAAATGTCAAAAAATTGCTTTTATATCAAAGTAATACTGCTGTAGAGCTGTCTTGTTAACTAACTACCCACATTTTTATAACCAATATCTACCACAACTTCAAACCAAAGGAATAGCAGAACTGTGCCACATCCTATATAAAAGGAGAGCCAATCTTCCTGTTGGAATCTCTGTAAAAACAGTAGACATTGCCTCATTTTTAAAATTAGTAGAAATTAAACCTACTTTACTTGAACATGGTGACTCATAAAGTTAATGGGGTATGTGGACCAGGCAAAAGAATTCTCAATGATAGTCCCTATTTTATACAATACTACTTACTTGGAGTAGCAATAGCACATATTCTATAGATATTTCAAAAACTAGCCAAAGCAGTGTTGTTCTGATTGACATTTGATCCTTAAATTAGCTTAACTGCATGGATCTACAATGTGTTAGATTTTTACTAATGATGTGTATTATCTGCATGTGATTTTTCGTATCTTGCTTTTGTCTTGATTTGTTTTATCCTGGCAAGAATCCACCTGGATGGGAAGGAGGGTTACAAATATTGTAAATTAAATAATCCTTTTCAGCCCAGCATCTTCCACCATTAAATATATTTATCTTTGGTCAATTTCATCAGAAATAGAAAATAGTTGAAAGGTTCAGGAAAATATAAGAAAATGAAATTAAGTAACTCTAAAAATTCAGGATATACAGTTATATGCAATTCACAATAAAAACAATAAGAATAAATATGGGTATCATCTACAACAAATAAAATTTAAAAATATATATTAAGGCAGACATAATTTAGAACATAGCTTCAGCTCACAGTTAACAATATTTTGTGCATCATATTATCCTGAGGTAAGACAATAAATATTAGATAATATTATTTATCTCTCGATATTGATGGAACAAAGCTGGGTGGCAATTTCTCCTTTTTCGGGGTGAACATAGCATAATAGTGCTTTCTAAGCATCTGGTTAATTGATCCTATGCTTAGAGGTTTGAACAGACAGAATTCAGTTTTTGTTCCAGCTTCTCCCTGGTATAATCTTTTTTTATAAGAGCACAACTGATGAAAAGCATCCAGCATCTTTATCATTGAACCACAGGGTTATTACGAGTTGGAGTCAGCATCACAATATGAAGAGATAGCTTTGTTCACACTGGGCTTTCCAGACTTTGGAAACTGATCAGGATACTGCATTGAACTGCAGCTGCAATGTCAAGGTTTCTTTAAGTGAAATACACACACACACACAATTTAATTTATATATAATTCTTTCATGCACTCTTTTAAAAACTAGGGCAATTCATTATCTTCCGCTGAGCATTTATCAGGAATGTCTCCTGTAATTGAAAATGTTTTTCTTCTATAATTTTGAAAACTTGATGTGAGATTTCAACACACTGTTTTATATTACTGTGATGAAGATAGGCCACTGATAAATATCCACATTGTAATCTTCTTCTTTTCTTTCTTCCCTAAGTATTCACCTTGTAATTCCCCTGTCTAACCTCCTATTTCTCTTGAGGAAAGGAAAAAAGAAACCTTGCCTTTTAAGGAATAGGCAAAGTTCTTTCCTTTTGTGGATTCAAATTTACCTGCTGGGAGAAATGAAAAATGATTTGGTCAGCTGCGCTGAAAGTCAGAATCAGTTTATTAATAGAAAGGCAGGTAAGAAATCTCACAGCATTCCTAGGATTAATATAATCTTGTGAGCAGAGAAACCCTTTTTTATACCCTTCAGATCCTTTGATTTTGTAAGTGTGAACCCTTGAAGTCTTTGATTTGTGTGTCCTTCCTTTGTTGTAAAAAGTAAGTTGGTTCCAGATATTTTAATAGTCCTACTTGACAAAGGGTGGGGGCTGTTTTCCAAGAAGAGAATCTTCTAGGACTTCCAACTTCCAACACTCTTAAAGGCATACACTCTCAGCATGTGTTTTTTGTTTTTATATTCCCAACTTATATCTCACCATGCACCTCTTGTTTTTGATTTTCATTTTCAATTTGGACCAAATTATCATACTCCCTATATAATTTAAAATAAATGTTTACTTTAGGTGAGGTAATAGTATCAAAGTTTATATGGGTGGGATATATATATATATATTACTTGGTATATGATGAAGCTGAAAAAGTATGTCTCAGAATTTATGAGGAAGAAACTGAAAGGAGAAGTCTACTGTATTTAAGTTACAGAAAATTGTGCATTATTTTAATATAGTAGCAATATCTATAGCATACTGAATAAAGCATGCAGCAAGATCCCATGGATGATCTTCTGCTAGTGTTGGTCTGCAAAGCAGAAGAAATAGTCCGAGATATAACAGAACTGACAGCATATGGACTGGGAAACTGCTCAAGAATAGAGAAAGGGAAATAAGAAAAATCCTTTTGATGTTAGTGGCTGATGTAGTAGAGAAAGGCAGCAGATCAGACAAAGCTGCACAAGGCTGCAAGCAGGGGTATTGTAATTATCTTTGAGAATGACCTTGGGACCAAGGCAATAGTTAATAGATAAAAGGCGACTGAGACTTCAGTAGGAATGTTGGTAGGGCAAGAAGCTCAAAGGAGACTTCCCTTTACAATTTTTTTGGCCTGTAAAGAAGATGAGAGAAGGGAAAGAAAAGTACTATCAAGCTTGCAAAATTTTTCTTAATATATTTTACCAACAACTCATCTGCTCATGTTTCCTGTTTTCCTGGTCTACAGTCTAAGGCTGACAGGTATTTTTCTTGTAGCAATTGTGTACACATATGCCAATATGACCCTGCTGGTATTTAATGGAAAAGAAAATAACATTTTGTTTAATTTTGGGAATGTATCATAGGATATTAATCCAGTTCATCCATGAGTATATTAATATAGCCTGAATAAGAAGAAAGAATCTGTAATACACTGTTGATACATTCAAAGAATCAGTTTTATATAGTCCAACAAGCAAAAATATGTATTTAATTGTGGTTCTATGATAACTTTTCTTATCATCGATTTGACAGATAAAACCTTAAGTTCTTTAAAAATGTTAGACCAACATAGTCAAAAAAAATCCATTAAAAATTGTGGTGCACTCAGTTGCTGCGGTTTCACTCTCTGGTTTGGTGTGTGTGTTTGGTGATATATCTTGTTGCATGGGAGGTTTACAGCCGACAAGAACTAACATACTATGGACTATGTCTGCTAGAGCTATTGTGTTGGATTTTCAGAAGACTCACAGTATTCCTGAGGAGATAGCAAGACCACCAGGATCTCCATGGATTGTAATGGGATCATTTAAATGGTGCAGGCGGCGCAGAGAGAGAAGGCGGAGGAGGGGCTGCAGAGCAGGAGTTTTAACTTGCTTAAAAAGACAGCCAGACAAACCACCATTGCCAAGTATCTTTCTCTCAAATGCTCGGTCACTCCTCAATAAAATAGATGAAATTAATCTGATGGCAGCAAGCAATCACATGATAAAGGACTGCTGTGTGATAGTTATTACAGAGAGCTGGCTTCACTCAGCTATTCCCGATGCCTCACTACAACTGGCATGTTCTACCATCCACCGACAAGACCGTAATAAGGACTCTAGTAAGACTAAAGGAGGTGGACTTTGTTTATACGTTCATAATAACTGGTGCACCAACAGCCGTGTTATAAACAGATACTGCTCTCCTGATTTAGAGGTGATGATAGTCATGTGCAGACCCCTCTATCTACCTAGAGAACTGACAATGGTGATTGTTACAGCTGTTTACATACCTCCTGATGCAAATTTTAGTACTGCACTTGCATTTTTGCATATTACAATAAATAAACAAATTAAAGCTTATCCTGATGGAGCTCATATAATAACTGGTGATTTTAATAAGGCATGCTTAAAGACTGTATTTCCCGAATTTACTCAGTATGTGACATGTGCCACCAGGGGAAACATCACACTTGATCATGTGTATTCTAATGTAAAGCATGCATATAAAGCAGTGTCCCTTCCACATCTGGGACTTTCAGATCATTTATCACTGTTCCTTATACCAGCATACACCCCCCTCAGAAGGAAAACTAAGCTTGAAATCAAACTCATCAAGAACTGGCCAGAGGGAGCACTTGATCAGCTGCAGGATTGTTTCTCAAATACTAATTGGAATTTATTTGAACAAGAGGATTTGGAGGAATATACAAAAACTGTACTGTTTTACATCTTGACCTGTGTGGATACGGTTACTGTGAATAAGCACATCCGGATTTTTCCAAACCAGAAGCCCTGGATGAACAAGGACGTGCAATTACTTCTCAAGACATGTGATATGGCATTCAGGTCTGAGGACAGGGTTTGGTATAACAAGGCAAGAGCGGAACTGAGGCGGGGCATCAAGGAGGCAAAAAAGGACTATAAAAGGAAGATTGAGGACTACTTCACAAATAATGATCCACAACGGGCTTGGCAGGGAATTAAACACATCACTAATTACAGGGGCAGCAACCCCATATCGATCAATAAGGACACATCACTGGCAGAAGAATTGAACTGCTTCTTTGCCCGATTTGAACTGAATAGATCTTTGAACACACTGCCTCTACAAACCAACGGTACTCAACTGTTCACAGTACAAGAGTATGATGTGAAGCAGGTGCTTAGAGCAGTGAATGTGAAAAAGGCTGCTCGCCCTGATGGGATACCTGGGAAGGTACTCAAAGCATGTGCTGACCAGGTCGCAGGTGTGTTTACAAATATTTTTAACCTTTCTCTTACACAAGCCATTGTTCCATCTTGTCTCAAAACTTCCATTATTATTCCAGTTCCCAAAAAGCCCTCTCCTGATACTTTAAATGACTATAGACCAGTAGCTCTCACATGCATATTTATGAAGTGTTTTGAAAGACTGGTCTTAAAATATATACAGGATTGCCTCCCATCAAACCTTGATCCATACCAGTTTGCCTATCGGAATAACAGATTCACAGAAGATGTTATTGCCAAGGCTCTCCATGTTGCACTGAAACATCTGGAGCATAGTGGGAGTTATGTAAGAATGCTTTTTGTTGATTACAGCTCAGCTTTTAATACCATCATTCGAGATATACTGATTAAGAAGTTGCTAGAAATGGGCCTCTCCTCTCACATCTGCTGTTGGATAAAGGGCTTTCTTACTAACAGACCCCAAACTGTTAGGATTGGCAGCTATTTTTCCTCCACTCTTGCTCTCAGCACTGGCTCTCCACAGGGTTGTGTGCTGAGCCCCTTTTGTATTCACTCCACACCTACGACTGCACTTCCTCTTGTCCCACTAACTCTATAATAAAATTTGCAGACGACACCACATTAGTGGGACTCATATCAGGAGAAGACGAGATGGCCTATAGGTCAGAGGTTCTCAGACTGGTCTTGTGGTGCAAGAGTCATAACCTCACCCTGAACATCAAAAAGACCAAAGAATTGATTATAGACTTCAGACGATGCAAAGCAGAGCCTCTCCCACTATGTATCAATGGAGACTGTGTGGAAAGAGTTCATAGTTTTAAATTTCTAGGAACTCATATTTCTGACAACCTTACTTGGTCAGTCCACACTATGGCCACTGCAAAGAAGGCCCACTTTCTGAGGCTGCTGAGAAAGAGTGGTCTGGGTGAGAAGTTGCTGGTTACTTTTTACTGTTCTACCATCGAGAGCATTTTGGTATACTGTGTAATGGTGTGGTATGCTGGATGCTCTGTAGTGGATAAGAAGATGCTCCAGAGAGTTATTAACACAGCACAAAAAATCATCGGTTGCTCTCTTTCTTCTTTGGAAGAGATTGCGAAGACCAGACTCCTCTCTAGAGCACAAAAAATCTCCACAGACCATTCTCATCCTGGACATTCATATTTTGAACTGTTACCATCAGGAAGACGTTATAGGTGTCTTAAAATGAGGACTAATAGACTGAGAAACAGTTTCTTTTCCAAGGCAAAAATTGTCTTGAATCAAACAATGCATATGTGATTTAGCCCTATGTATATAGTGGCATTTTAAAACTATCTAACTTACTATATGTTTTAGATATGTTTTAGATTAGGTTTCTAATTATTATTTTAATTATTTTAATTTTTAACTACTCTGTAGTGTGATTGTGATGTGGTGTTTGGGACACTGTGCTGGAGCAGCTTTCAAATTTCATTGTATTTGTAGAATGCAATGACAATAAAGGTATTCTATTCTATTCTATATTCTATAGTCACTGTAAAAATCTGATGGTATTTTGCTTGTTTGAAAAACTTACTACACAATATGAAAAACATATGTTGTTTTTTATTGTAAATTATCACAACAGTTTCTCAATTGCTGTATTGACAGAGGATGGCAACCACATAGACATATTAATTTCTAACCAATATTTATTCATACAATTTCCCTTTATGAAACCTTTATATCAGTAATAGAAATATTTTAAAATAAGTGTACAAATTATACTTTAGTGATTAAAAAGTGTGTGTATATCTACAGTATGTGTATGTGTGTGTCTATGTTTACAAACACTGAATCCTAGGAGCACCTTAGTGGAAAACTTGAAACATATCTATTAATAACTAATGAAATACTGTGATTTATTGCACACATTTTATATAGGTCTCTTGTAGCTTTGAGATGAAAACCGAAACATCTCTGTGAATGAACAAGTAGGGGATGATCCCTGAAGGGTTGCAGTGATGTGGGTGATACTTTTCTTGTCTCCCCAGAGGTGAAGTGTATCGTATTCTGAGCTCTTGCAATCTTTACCAGCCTTCAAAGCTAGAGGCTATTCCTACAGTAGGCTATCTCATATTCACAAATGCTTCTCATGCACTTCGATTTCTTCTGCTGCTCTTTATATCTTTCTTCTTGTTTTTTCTGAATATAGAAAAAAAGAAAAGACTAAAAATACTGATTAAAATATTAAGAACTATGAGAGAATCCAACTAGGATACCGTTACTATGCTTTGCTTAAAAAAATATGTGATGTATGGCTTTTCGGATAGGATTTTAGTTTGGACTACCAGTCGGCATGGTAATTTCCAACAAGAGAACAGAATAGAATAAAATTCTTTATTGGGGAAGTGTGAATGAACACAAGAAATTTGTCTTGGTGCATATGCTTCAGTGTACATAAAAGAAAAGATACATTCATCAAGAATCAAGAATCATAAGGTGTAATACTTAATAGTCATAGGGTACAATAATCAATCAAATCATACTGAGAAACAGTCAATAAAAATTGTTAGGATACAAGCAACAAGATTGCAGTCATACAATCATAAGTGGGAGGAAATGGGTGAAAGGAAGGATGGGAGGATTAATAGTAATAGTCATGCAGACTTAGTAAATAGTTTGACAGTGTTGTGGGAATTATTTGTTTAGCAGAGTGATGGCATTCAGGAAAAAACTGTTCTTGTGTCTAGTTGTTTTGGTGTGCAGCTCTATAGCATTGTTTTGAGGGTAGGAGTTGAAACAGTTTATGTCCAGGATGTGAGGGTTTATAAATATTTTCACAGCCCTCTTTTTGACTCATGCAGTATATAAGTCCTCAATGGAAGGCAGGTTGGTAGTAATGTTTTTTTCTGTAGTCCTAATTACTCTCTGAAGTCTGTATCTGTCTGGTTGGGTGAAAAAGGCAACAACTAATGCAACAAAATTAGTACAAGGACTGTAGTTTCTTCACTAAAAAGTTTGCTATTTCTATCTCATACATCACTTTTTTTTGTAAATTCAGGAGAAGTGATTGATTAAACATTTAAAAAGAATCTAATTTCTGTATATTGTTAGACAAGACCAATTCTTAGCTACCAGTAGTATTTTCTATTGAATAAAGGAATCTTTATCTTTCTTCTGTGTTCACCATCTATTTTCTATTAAAGAGAAAGAGAAATTTCTCATCAAATGTGTCTAATGAAAATTGTGTGTATGTGTGTGTGTGTATGTGTGTTTTTGAATTACTATACCTCAATACTCCTGGTGACTACCTGGACAAGTCCCTTCAATTTTCTTGGCAAGATTTCAGAAGTGTTGCTATTGCCCTCTTTCCTAGGGCTAAAAGAGACATTCTGTCCCACCGTTACCCAGCTGGTTTCATGCTTAGCGGGGGGGGGGGGGGCATGCTATAGCTCCTAACTTCCCAGTTTCTACCTAATCATCACACCAATCTTGCTCTCTTAATGCAAATTGAGTATCCCTATTTTAAAAGGAACATAGTATAAAATTAAAAAAAAAGAAAAATAAGAATCAAGGATAAATCGGTTGCTGCTGCATTTATTATAAACGAAGAGAAATGGAATTCTCACTCTCACTCTCACTCTCTGTGTGTAAGTATGATTGTGTGTGTTTAGTAGCTGCAATGCTTAATTAAACACAAATAGTGAGACTTAAGCTCTCTAGAGGAAGCTTTTCTTTCTATTTCCAGCAGTTTTAAAATTGAGTTTTGGTCATTCATTTTGGTAGGATCACTTGTACTCAAAGGTTAAGCAGTGATAGTGAAAACAGGTTTGTGCATAGGTCTTGAGAAACCAGCACTCAGCGTATGGGCAGTGCAGCCAATTATATTGTGGTTTTCTTTTCTCTTCTTTTTCTCTCCGTATATAAATATCCCAAGACAGATTGTTTTGACAGATACTAAGATTTAATTTTTTCAATTGCATTTGACTCAAAGGCAAAAATGTTAGGTAGATGTTAATTTAACAGATGTTTAGTTCTGTATCATCTGCCTGAGACAGGAAATTTCTG